ACGAGAATCAAATGTAGAAGAACGGTGATAACGATGTTCAACCGAACCTCTACCAAGTGGACTTGCACTAAATAATAAAAAAAATAAAAAAATAAAACATTAATAAATTTAATGAATTCTAAATTAAATACCATTTTTCGTTATAATGAATTGATGGTGATTATTTTTAGATAATTTTTAATGTACATTTAAGTATAACAAAAGAGTGGTAGCGTACCCTATGCACACGCAGTATCAGATGCTTTGACATTTCAAAAGTTAGAACAATAATGTTTGATCAATATAGATATCAATATATATAGATATTACGTAATTAATTTTTATGATCGATCAAGATCATAATGTTTCCAAACCGTTTCATATCGACAAAATGTTTCAGTTACAATTCCTTGATCTACAAAATAAATTTCACTTCCCTTGTGTATAGACCTACAACTCTTCGAACGTCTTTAAAGTCTCTTACTTTGGAGAAAATTCAATATTCAACAAAGATAACAAAGACTTTTAATAATGTTTCAAAGTATTACTTTGATCGTTTTAATACTTCTCCAATCATTAAAATAAAAGATAAAATACGCAGCAATTCTATAATTCTGGGTTTATTGGGTTTGACAACTGCAACTACGATCCTGGGAGTAACGTGGTCGCAAAGTTACCGGGATAAATTTAATTTAATCTTTGCTGGAATTTTTCGCTCTACGGTAACTTTGTGTGTTTGGTACGAGGTTCGAATTGACGTGAGAATTTTTCGTTCTTTGCAATCGCAAATATAATATCTATCTTAAAAATTGATTCTTTTTTTTTTCATATTATAGTTGTCTTTGTATGCTAGATTATAAGATTTTACATCTTAGATTTAAAAATGTTGATCATAAATCTGATGAATTCATAGCATCTCAGAAAGTCGTTCATCTAAGAGTTGCAAAAAGGTTATTGAAACTTTGTAGACTTCATACTGGTATATATGTAAAAGGTTAGACTTTTTGATTTATGTTTGTTGAAAACTATATACACGCATATACTTATTGCACACATATATATACAAACATATAATTCTAATTCAAAATTTTATATTTGAAATAAAATATTTAGGAGCCCAACATCTTGCTTCTTTAACTTTTATCGTTCCTAGAGAATACACTGAAACTTTATCTGTATTACAGGATCGAGCACCTTATAGAGGCATGGATGATGTAAAGAAAATATTTGCTGAGGAATTCAATGGATTAAGTCCAGAGGATGTATATTCTGAATTTGATAAAATTCCAATAGCTGCTGCTTCTTTAGCTCAGGTGCATAAAGGTGATAAATTATGAAATTTATTTGAATTTCTCATTATATAATTGGTTATCATTATGTTCTTATATGTGTATTAAATAATAGCTAAAACAAAAGATGGTCGAGAAGTAGCTGTCAAAATTCAATATCCTGATGTGAGTATGTTGCAAATATATATATACACACATATATATATATTTATTTTTTAATGCTAAATTTTCATAATATAGGTATCAAGACTTTTTCATGTGGATATTTGGACTATGCAATCAATGTCCAATTTAATTTCTTTCTTTTTTCCGGAATTCGAATTAACTTGGATTATAACTGAGTTTAAGCAAAACTTGATTTCTGAATTCGATTTTTTACGAGAAGCTAGAAATGGTGAATTAACAAAGGAGAGATTCAAACATCGCGCACCTGAATTAAAAATACCTAATATTATATGGGAATTAACGACTAAACGTGTGTTGACCATGGAATTTGTTCATGGTATTAAAATCAATAATATTGAAAAATTAAAAAATTTAGGTGTAGATCCAAAATGGGTTCGAACTGTATTGTTAGAAGTTTTTGCTGAAATGATCTTTTGCCATGGTGTGATTCATTGTGATCCTCATGCTGGAAATGCCCTTGTAACAATATCTCCAATAACAAATAAACCTCAACTTGTTCTCCTTGATCATGGTCTCTATAGAGAATTATCTGATGAATTTCGTTTGGTGTATTGTGATCTGTGGAAAGCTTTAATATTGAATGATTCTAAATCTCTCAAAAAAGTGGCTGATTCTTTGGGTGTTCCTCAATACATTCAATTCCTTCCGCTGATTTTTACACAACGTATACCAGATTCTACAACTCCTCTTGGAGAGGATATGTCACCTGAAGAACGTGCTATGATTCAAGATCAACTAAAAAATATAAAATTGAGTGATTTCTTTGATTTTTTGGAATCTTTACCAAGAGATATGTTACTAGTACTTAGAACAATCAATATAGTACGTGGAATTCATCGTCAACTTGGTGGAAAACCAATGGAAAGTTTCAGAATGAATGCTCAATTTGCCATACGAGGATTATGGTGTGAAACAAGAAACGAGGAAAAAAGACGAATAAGTCGTTCAAAAGAATTGGGATTAACTGGTGATTCTACTATGATCGGTCCATTACGAAAGTGGTATTTATTTGGTGGAACTCCTAATTTCTTTAGAACTCTGGGATTCATTAGGAATTTCATTGTAATGACATTTAGATTGTATTTAACGGAATTGTTAATTAAAATTTGGAGATGGTGGTTTTTATATAGATCTATGGATGCTTCGGTTATAATGAAAATTTAAATTCACAATTCACTTGCAAATTTAATCAATATATATCATGTTTATTTCTTTAATTTGCTTGTTACAAAAGATCGAATATTTCTTTTTTAAAAGTATATCGATTTAATATTTTTTGGAATAATAATTGAAATTATTTGTTTGATTTTTTTAAAATATATTTGAAAGTTTTTACTTAATACAACATAAATAAATACTTGAGTTTTTTAATGTTTTGGATAAATACAGTCTAACCTCCCTATAATCACACCCCTCGGATAAAGATTTGTGTGATTATAAAGAGAATTTTACTAAAATGTGCTTATAAAGAGGTTTTTTTTCTATATGTTTATAATAGTTGGTTTTAAAAAAATGTGATTATAAAGAGAATTTTTATATGATGTGCTTATGTAGAGACTGTATATGCATCGCCTACTGCGATGTGTTTATACATCGCATCTATATATTGTCTTATAACAACTAAAATAAACCGGGATTTTTTGGTTTGGTTAGAGTTAGTAGAGTTAGGAGGCAATACAAAAAAAAAATTATAGTAAAATTTTGCAAGAAATTTTTTTTGTTAGAGCTCGAAAGATAGTTTCATATATGAAATTTTGAGTTATCCCTTAAACCGTCTAGCGGGCAAATTTGCCCGCTAAAATTTTTTTTTAACAGTTTTTGTATAATTACGCTAA